TATTCTCTCGCAAGATTATTTCTAACTTTCAAATTTAGCAGCTGTAAACAAATGTCCTTTTAAAAAGATGTTACAATGGTTCCCTCTTTCCCTTTCAAAAATGAGATTTTCCACACTGTCTCTGCTCTTCGATTGCATCCAAGTCTCATGTGTTCCACTAATTTCACCTCTAGGCTTGTAGCAGTCCATGGAGGGTAGCCTGTGAAGACAAGTCACTGGGATGCAAACCCGGTTAGAAACCCCAAAATATATGCAACACTAGCAAGTTGGAAAGCCAAATAGAGAAAAGATAGAATGAGTAAGGCTTGCCTCTGTCTTTGTTCATGCATGCTGTGGAAACCCTAGGAGCAGGTTCAAGCAGGGGCCACCCCACTGTCTCGCCAAAAGGGGGACATACCCCCACAGTGCCCCTCTATACCACAAAATTGCACGTGCATTCTTGCTGCCCATTTCCTTACCCTACAAATGTTGGGGGCACAATGATTTGGTGGGTTGTTTAACGGCTCCTCTCATCAGATTAACATCTCTTTAATGCAATGCAAACACATGGTTAGGATGTGGTGGGAACATCACAACAGTCAGTGCTTTACCTCTCTCAAGCATGCCCTGCCTTAGGCATTGCACCCACTCTGTCCCTATCAGCAGTTCACTGGGTCACTTGTTGACCGCGGGGTAGTTGGTCTTATGACTATAGGTTAAATCCTGTTCATCCATTTTTTGCTCCTCTGGCTGTCAAACTTTTTACCCAAAGACCATTGACCGACTGTATCCCCCCTCTGTGCCGTTGTTATTCCCCATATTGATAAGTTGCAATGCATCATAACAGTGACCTAACCCAGTGGTCAGCCACCTTGTCAGGTTGTTGGCCAGGAAGATGCAGCTCGGGTCAATCGGGCAGGCAGGCAGACACTAGGATCCAGCTGCCATACCCAACGCCACTTCTCTGCACTGTGAACCAGGAGTAGTGCCTGCTACTAACACCACTAAACCCCCGCATCCATAGGCTAGATCCAATGGCTCTATGGGCCAGATCCACCCTGTAGGCCATAAGTTGCTACCGCCTGGGCTAAGCCATGGGTGGTAAGATTCAGTCCTGTACCAGCTATTAAAGTCTGTTATTTCCCCAATCCACGGCACTAGGAAGTGGGACTTCTGACCCATTAAAAGTATGCCATATGGGGAGTACGTATTAGACATGTGAATTGACTGTCAGGCATCAGGAGAAAGGGATAAGTTCTTCCTCAAGACTCACTTAAGGCAAAAGATGCATCTGTTCTACTCCTTCTCAGTGATAAACTGCAGCCGTTTATAGACAAAACCTTTCATGTGGGTCTTCTCTGCCACACCATGACAGGAATATAAAACAGAGGCAAAACAGGTTGTCTCCAACTGGGCTGCATCTAGTTAGAATCAGAAACGTGTGTTCTATTTTCAGATTACAAATTGAATCAAGTAAGAGAAAGCAAATAGGTGCCTGAGACTGTCTGACATTTCCTATGACTAGAGCTGGTCAGAAATGCTGGCTGAATTGATGATCCAGTGGAAAATGCAGCTTCTGGAAAATGGAAATTTTCCAAAGGAAAAAAAAATAGTTTTTTTCACTAGAAGTAATGGAACAGAGATATATCACTTCAGGTCAGTTGGACTCAAACTGGAATAGTTTGATGATTTTTAATTGATAGACGTACTGCATTTCAATGGGTTCGACAAAATACTAAATCTCAACACATTATCACAGAGGAGCTGTAAATCAGACCCCTGAGCTTTCATTGTGGCTGGGCTCCCTGAAAGACTACTCTCCAGTGATGCAATTCAGATCACCTTCTACCTGGAGCAGAGTGATGCACCATGGGAATACCATGATTCCGGGTGCACCATGGGAGGGCTGCTTGACAAGGAGGCGTGGCTCTTTGGGGGATAAAGGGGTTGTCGGAGCCCTAATCCTCGGATCTCATTAGCCACGTGAAATGCAGTGGTTTTGGTTCGGTTCGGTTCAGTCAACCAGGATGAAATGTTTGGATTTGGGAGAGGTTGGCGTTTTCAAGTGGAGATTATCTTCCAAATTTCCATTAATGAAAAACTTTCCACTTTTCATCTCAGTTTGCGGTGAGAACTAATAGTGAAAGGAATTTCCTATGGGGCAGAAATTCTCAATGTATATTTCTGGCTCCAACTCCCGTCTCCATCTGGCACTGAACAGGACTGCGTGCACAAAGTATGGCTTCCCCTGCAGAAACATGTAGCCACCCGGGACTTGCTAAATAAGCAAGGGAGCCTGTCTTTCTTGAGCACTGTATGTGCACTCCCCACCTACCTGGAGCTAGACCGTGGAGATAAAGCAGCATTGATACCAGCCAGCTGCCCTGTGTCCTGTTTGAGAGAGGGGAAGGGGTTGGTGGTTTGGGTACAGCAGCCTAAGACCTGGAAGGCCTGAATCGAATGCTTGCTCTTCCATGGACTTCCAGAGACTTTAGGCAAGTCACTATACTTCAGTTCCCCCTCTCTAAAAATAATACTTCCTTATCTCACAGGGGTCTTGTGAAGTTGGCTACATTAAAATAGAGGAGTAGTAAGATATGGTGCTGATGGATGCCAACTATTCCCCTCATATGGGAAGTGAAGCAGGAAGGACAAGCTGGGACTCAAAGAAGAGTAGGTGGGGTTCGAAGAGCAGAGGTAAGGGGCTGAGGAAGAGTTTGAGCCTTGTCTCTTTGATCCAGACAGCCCAGTTTCTCTGAGAGGAACGCTTTTCCCCGTGATCAACTCAATCCAGATCAATCTTTCCACATCTGGAACAGCTACAGGTGAAGGTACAAGCTCATACACTTCACAAAAACATGTTCAGGGAAGGAATAACAAAATGATATACCCATATAATAACTATGTAGCCTACTATGACATTCATAGACAAAACTATTAAACATTTATTTTTTAATAACACTGAAAGGCCATAACTAGCTTGGGGCCAGATTTGTACAAAGCGTTGTACAAATGTGATCGGTGGCAGTCCCTGCCATCAAAGAACTTGTTGTCTAAAAGATATGACTGTTACCTCAAGCACACATGAAGCGGGGCCTGGCTCTCGCATGCTTTCATAAAAGTGGGGCTCAATGGTAACAACTTTGGGAGCCTCTGCTCTGGAGGTAGAGAAAAAGGAAAATTTCCTATGGTCTGCACTGCGATAAGTAGGTTTCAGCTGGACCTGCATGACAGCCGTTCGCGTCGGCTGTAGCTTGGTGGGGACACAACAACCAGAGAGGCCCTGGAAAGTTGTATCAGATAATATTAGTCAGCCATACAGGTGTCATGCGTCAGTCACTACAACAGTGACACACCTGTAATTCATTGCACAGGAAGAACTACATACCACCGTTACAGACATAGCCAGGCAGCATTTCAAACCCTTCTTCCAGGAAAGCAGCAACAATTAGATTTCAGTTATTCATAACGTGAAACCCAATGAGGCGTGAACTGGCAGAAAAGCTCCCAAATTCAGTGTGTTATTTCATTGCTCAGAAAGGGGTAAGACATCCTTTGAGTTCCCATGGGTTTGCCTTCATGTCTTCAGCCCTGGCTGTATTATTATACAAATAATTGAAACTGCCATTGTTCTTGGGTTCTGAGACAAGAACAACACAGGGAGTTTTCAATTATGTTGAAAGGTGACAAGTTCAAAACTGCCAGTGAAATTCTTTTCCACTCGGTGGGTGAACAGAGGGGAATTCATTACTACGTGTTGTCCCTGATACCAAGATTTTAGCAAGAGAAATTGGATAAATACTGGTATATGGAAAACAGTAAACGGCCATAGTTATATTAATTCATGGGTATGTCTACACGAGATGCTACGTCACCGTAGCAATGAGCTACATCACCATAGCGAGCTGCTATAGCGGTGTGGCATTGGCTGGTATGAACCCTGACGCTGACACTACTATGCAGCAGGAAAAGAACCGTGCGGCATCTAGACTGCACAGTAATGTTGGTTACTGTGCAGTCATTTAGTACTTAAACTTTAGCAAGTAGTAAATGACTGTCCAGTAATAACTGGCATATGTGTAGATGCACCCAACGCTAAGACAAGTTTTGGGAAGGAATTAAAATCTTGTTCTTCGTGGAATCCTAGAAACATAGGGCTGGGAGAGACCTCAGGAGTCATGTAGTTCAACCTCCTGCTCAATGCAGGATCATCCTTACCTAGAACAGGCTGTGCTCAACCTTTGGGCCCCGCCGGCCAGATAAGTGGCACAGGGCCAGTCCCTGGGTGGAATGAGCCTCATGTGCCAGGATCAGGCCCCACACCACCTCCACCTGGCTCATGTACCAGCATCAGGCCTTGTGCCCCCCACCAATCAGCCCTGATCATCCTCATGCCACCCCTATCAACCTTGCCACCCCAATCAGCCCCGCACCATCCTGCACTGCCCCAACGAGCTTCATGCCATCTCAGCTGGCACCACACTGCTCCGAGCAGCCAAATCGGCCCCGTGCATCCTGATCAGCCCTGCATGCCCTATCTAATACATGGGGCCATGCTATCCAGCCCACAGGACTCCCCGTGGGTCCAGAAATTTGGCAGTGGGAGAACAGCAATTAACTGCCATCGCTCCCCCACCACCAAATGTTCAAACCGTGGGGAGGCCCCTGGCGTGGACAGTACGGCTCCACAGGTTAGATCTGGGCTGTGGGCCAGGAGTTGAGTACCCCCGGCCTAAACTATTGCATACACATCTCGCCTGATCTTAAACTTCCAGTGATGGAGAGCCCACAACCTCCCTAAACATTTCATGGTTTTAAGTTCAGACCTTGATGAGGCAGATTGCTTTATGTCTGCTGACTGTGCTATTTCCTACACAGACCCATCACACACCAGGTACTGGATGGGATGAAACATAAGTGTGAACCAATTTGGCCGTTCCTATGCTCCACTCCTTTCTATGGGCTGCAGCAAAAGTGCTCCTTCATGGTCTTCCACTTGCAGCAGCGCTTCTTCCTTCTCATGTCCTTGTAACAAGGTATTTAGCAGAATCTGCAAATTCACTGGAACCTGACATAGCCGTGCTGCGAGTGCGTCTGCTGTGACCTCCACCTCACATCGTCTGGGCTATCAGCCGTGTGCCTTAGCTCTCATACCATCCCAGCCCCCCGCAGCAGTGCTGATGGAGGGGAACTTGTTCTCCCATACCTACCATCCATAAGTGGTACCATTTACTCTGGAGGGCCTGCCTGGATGAAGAGGTGGTTGATGCTGCTGCTCTCATATTCAGTCTTCCAAAGTCTGAGCAGATTCTTTAGCTTTGAGGCTCTGCTTGGGACAAAAAAGGCATTTTCACATCACTGCTTGGGACTAGAGAGAGAGCTATAACATCTGGTATTACACATCTGGAAAGAAAGCCGTGGGAGAGCTGGATAAGGCGTCTTAGACATTGCTTGCATGTGCTATACCTGGTGCTACCCAGTGCAATGACTGTTAATAATTATTTGCATTGTGGTAACATATAGGATCCCCAGAGACTTAAGCAGTAGAAGCAGCTTGGGAAACAGAGCCGCCAGTGGTATAATGACTCAACATCTGGGGGATCGTTTGAGTGGTAATGACACCTGCAGTAGACATGTTATCCTTCTTCCTAAATGAGAGCCCCTCAGATTATAACATTAAATTCTGCATGGAGAGAGATTTTGTGTCTGATGCCTCGACTTTTTATTGAAGTGGGGATTATAAACTGTAGGGCATTTAAACTGCTGTGGCTGCGTGTCATTTTCAAACTGGATTAAAATTTGCAAAAGCAGGTGATGCTCAGGGTACAACTTTGTTAGACGGTGAGATAAAGAGTTAGGGGGAATCCAGTCTGCGGTACCTGTGAGGAGCAGCCCGGTTACTGGAAGCCTGCCTTGAAGAAACAGTGAGAGCAGCCGCACAGTGTGGCGAAGCAGAGGTTTATTGTCAGGCTAAAACTAGGAAAAATTAGCAGACACAGGGTGCCAGGGATGCCTGTGCAACATTCAACTGTTCCCATTGCTTTGGCTCCAATGAGATCATCTGTCTTTGTATGCTTCTCATTTAGATCCTAAAAATCCTTTTTCCTGACTTGTTCTGGGTGAAGGGCTGCTGCATTAACCTCAGTGCCAGCAACCAGCCTGCGAACATATTTTTATTTCCCTTTTTGTATTGCATTTATATAAGTCTGATTTTTTAAAAAGCAGGCTGCTCTGAATCAGAGGGCAGGCCCACTGTCACAGACAGCTATCCGGAGTGACGGGGCCCATAGGTTCGGCTGAACACGACGGTCGGGCAATGTTAGAAGTGTTTTTCCAGCTTCAGAGAGAAGCTGGAATTTAAATGAAGGAAGCACAGCTCTCGCTCTTCCGTCGCTGCTCTGCGTGGCTCATCACCCAGACGTTGACAATATGATTCAGCCATGAGTCGCTGCTGCGTCATCCTTGCAGTCGTCAGGGAGTTGCAGCGCAAGGAGAAGCTAAGTCGTTAAGAAACTCCTGATAAGCTGCCAAGGTGGGAAGGGGAGAATGTTATTTAGCAGCAGGTAAAACAATAGCACTCCCTTATTTGCTAGGAGGGCTGTGTGAAAGTCATTCCCAAGGAGTAGGGCGACTATACATCCTGTTTTGGCCAAAACAGTCCTATCCCAAAAGTCAGGAAAAGCATCTCAACTTTTTCCTGCAAAAGTGGCAATTTGTCCCATTTTCTTTTGCCAGCGAATGCATTGCATACTCATAAGAAAATATGAATGGTATCATATAGCCTAAAAATGAACTTAATTGCATTTTTTTCATTCCCTCCATTTCACAATAACATCCCATCATTTTACAACTTGGTTTGATTTATGCTAGGTGGCGACGGCATAAGGCGACAGCTCTGGGATCTACCTACCCCCATCAGGTGCACATGCGGTGCAGTGTCAGCTCCCACAGTAAGGTTACTGAGGTTATCAGTAGTGTTTGCTATAAAACATCACAAAAATGTGCCTGTTTTTTAAAGACCTACAAAATCAATTGACGTTTTTGTGAAAAAAGGAAACATCAGCAGCTGACAATACCCACATTATTGCCACACTTGGGGAGCACATTCTTCAATGGCTCGTGGTGGCCGCTGTGACATCACTCAGCACCTTCGGACAAAAAACACGAAAGAAGCCAAAAGAAGTAAGTATGCAACTCCAAGCATTTCAGAATTTTTTATTAAGCAAAACACAGAAGCCAATCAAATTTTTGCTAGCGACTGTTTGATGACCCTTTTGTGCATCACAGACAGTTTCAGGTCGAGTGATTATACATCACAATTAATTAAGAAACTGCCAGCTGAAGTTTTCATTTGCTCACACAAAATTTGAGGCAATAATTTGCAACGCTTTAGTTCCTCTATCAACAGAAGAAGTACATTGAAAATAAACCTCTGCTCAATTTTCACCTTGTGATTTGGAGAAGTGCTCATTTACTCCACTCAGTGTGGCTGCATCAAACGAAAAGGAGCAAAAGCTATTACCTGTTCTTGTGCACTATTTTCTTCCAATTAGGGGAGTTAACACAAAAATTATCACATTGCTTCTCCACTGGGTAAAACACCCGATGTGCAGTGTGCATTTCTCCAGCAAGTGATTGCAAAGTACTCTTAGGGCCAAGCTGGATGGATTTTTAGCAGACAATACCAGCACTAATTTTGGTGGTGCCAGGTGTGCTAGAATAAAGAATTTATGGTGAAAACTCCAAGCCAAACTAGGAAAAGAGATTTTTGGTATTGGTTGTGATGTTCATCTTGTACATAACTGCCTCCAAACTGCAGTCTTCCCAGGGACTTTGCTGTAAAGGTTTATAAATACCTTCACATTTACAGCTGCACGTGTTGAAGAGCTGAAAGACTTCTGCCAATTTGTCAATCTCCAGTATTTTAAATTACTAGAGCATGACAGCACACAAGTCCTGTCACTGGGACCAGCGCTGGACAGAATTGTGTTGATTTTCGATGGGCTTAAAGCAGGTTTTTCTTCTCAAGACGAATGCCCGACACTGCTAAAGAAAGTCTTCCATGCCCCTCGCACTAAATCGTGGCTTGCTTTTGCCAGTAAACAAACAGTCACGTTGCAGAAGACCGTAGAGGCGATCGAGAAAAGCGGTTTGTCGGTGACAGAAGTTGCGCTGCAGATATATTCCCTGCAGGATAATTTAGCGGAGTGGCTTGGAGAAAGATTTGTCACAACAGAAACAAAGACCCTGCTGCAGTCTCTTGTAGACTGCAGGCAAACGAAGGGAGAATTTTACAATGCAGTCAACAATTTTTACACAACAGGCCTGCCCTACAGAGAGCACTGGAAACCTGCCTTGGAGTGCACCAGAAAGCTTGGGTGGGCCCTGCTGGGAAATGTGCCAGTGGGGGATGAAACACAAGACAGCCTCACTACATGCCGCACTGCAATTCCCACGTGTCGGCTGAGAATTGTCTTTTTGATGAGTGGGCCACTACAAAATCAATCATCTCTCGTCATCTTTTTGACTGAAACGGGCAGGAAATACCCATTGCTGAAAGGTGGCCGAACGGTTTTCAAGAGATGGACAACCAGGAGGTCCAATACATAGGTCTAGCTTCAGCTGTGCAATGTGTTGTGTTCACCAGGAACCTCTGCCCCTGTAGAACGTGTCTTTTCAATAATGATCGATGAAAAACAACATCTGAATGTCTCCACAATGAAGGCTATATTGTCTGGGTGAGTTAATTTTTGATCTGGATTCTGCTACGTTCTCTGGCAAGCTGCTGAAAGACAAGCAGACCCTTGACAAACTAGCAGCTTCAGAGAAATACAACTGGCAACAAGCAACTTCACACCCCAAAGGACAGCAAGACAAGGAAAAACCATCAGAAACGCCTTTATTGTAAGTACATAACTTCACTGGTAATGCTGTTTGTAAGGGGGGAGTTATTGTGTTGGTTAACTTCTGAAGTCAAACCCACTCAATCTCTTTGAAGTGATATTAAACATGTTTCACCGTGTTGCGTATTTCTCATCTGTTTTTGCACAGGTAAGTGAACTCCCTTGGACACTAGTAAAAGCTTACCAGGTGTCCCATTTTCAGCATAGGGAAATGTGGTCACCCTACCGAAGAGCAGCATTCCCCATAGGTGTCTTTTCTTGGCTGGTTGTCCATGTTCTGCTCTGAACGATGACAGGGCAATACACAGACCAAGTGGCTCGGCAAGCTGCAGCTACAATGCTTGTGCACATGAGGCAGCAAGGAACAAAGAATACACAGGCACAAGAGCATTGCAGCAATGCAGTCTCATGTCTATGGGCTAACTAACAACAGCCCCCAAAGCAGGCCTTGCTGTCCTCTGGGTTCAGTTCTTTGCTATTGCACATATATCTTGTGTGCTCTTCAGCAAGTCTGTTGGCCCAGATCATCAAAAGTACCATGACACCTATCTCCCCCCACCATTTTAGTGCCTAAATTCACCATTTAGACATCCTCAAAAGCACTGCTCAATTTTCACCTAACCCTACAGTGCCTAAATACTCCAAGCACCCAAGTTTCCCCTGGAGGGCATGTTCCAGACCACTTGAGCATCAGTGCTGTCCACCTCCCTGGGTAACGTTCAGTTTGATCTTGAGCAGATCAGAGGCAGGATACTCAAGTTTATCTCACCAGGGGGGCTCAATCCCATAAGCATGTGCTGAGCACATCCAAGATAAAGGATGTCCAAAATTAATACATTCCAGCACTTCTGGAGCTCATTTAGGACCTGGGAGACCAGCAGTCCCACCCCATCCTCCACCCTGCCTTTATATGTTCAGTCTATTTAGACTGTAAACTCGTCAGAGAAGAAGTCTCTTGCTATATATATACCATGAGTGCTGCAGGGTGGCCTCAACCTTGGCTGGAGCCTTTAAGAGGTCAGAAGTGGCCACATGTTTCATAGCGTACATAGCATACGTCCAAAGGCTGCCCAGGAAAAGTCTGAAGTGGGGAATTCTGGCTGTTCTGTTAGCGGCACCATCCAGGAGGGTGAGGAAGTGGGCAACATTTCCCAGGACAGGGAGATGTGCAGACTTCACAGGCAGCATCCATCAGAGCAGGGTTTAACATCTGGTGTGTCCTCGATTAGCAGGATGCTCGAAGCAGCTACATCTGGACCCAAAGGTTAAGCGGACAAACATTAAAGGATTTTGATTGGAGTGAATTTTGCCTGAATTTGGGCCTGGAATGGATTTGCCTCCCCAGATCCTGCACAGGTCACTTAACCTCTCTGGATCCCACCTTCCTCCTCATTGAGAGGAGGAGTATGAGAGGAAGTAGCAAGGCCTCAACTCACCAGTGACCTATTTCCTCATGAGAAAAAGAGCCTTCAAGGGGCCACTCTGGAGACAGTAGGAGCCAGGCAGTTGCTATCATCCAGGAGGTACTTACTCCTTCAGAGCAAGGTTGATATCCTAGCTGATGTCATGGAGAAGTGAACTGCACCCTTGGCAACAGGGATTCCCTCCTGCACCAGGGAGGCTGGGTTTGCCAGCAGTGTGGTTTTCTGCTCCAGCAGGGAGGAGAAAACAGATGCCACCCCGGAGGTACAGACCCTCTGCTGAGATAGTGCTACTTTATCCCCCATCACCTTGCGTTTGGACTGCATTTGGACTGCCATCACACTGAGGTCTCCAGGTCTCTTTCTCCTGTAGGAAAGGACAATCTCTGAGATGCACTCAAAGAGCTTGTGCTCTCTGTCCTTTACCACGAGGGGAGGAGGCAGCTCAGTTTGACCCACTACATCTGAACTTTCTCATCTCCATAGTGGAAACAGTAAACCTTCCCATCGGGGGTGTTGTGAGGATTAATTAGCTAATGTTTATACAGTGCTAAGTATTAATTATTGAGTCAAGCTGCCATGAGAAGGAACAAAGGGCCCCAGCTTTCTGAAAAGCAGGGCAAACATTTCTTAGAGGACGCCTACAGCCTCTCTGACAGATATGCCTCCTGACATGGCATCTAGGAAACTGGGACCCAGTTTTCCTCTAAGTCACCTCCCTAATTACAACCCTGAGTTGGCAAAAGCACAGGGCCTTGGAACGACAAGCGCAAAGCTTCTTCCTTTGCTGCAGCACAGAGGTACAGGGTCTACTGATGGCAACCACAAGGACAACATCAGCAGCCATGAATACGGCAGGTTTTTTCCTTCTGTGGATGTTTCTTTGGAGGCCGGATCAGGGATGGGGGAAGTCACAGGGGCAAAAGCATGTGGGCACATCTTAGAGTGCATCTATGTTGAAGTAGCCGCTGCAATCAAACCACTGTCCTTGTGCTTGGACAGAGGAAGAGATGGTCCCTGGAGAGAATACGCTAAAGCAATAAAATAGACCCATTGCATCATGCCTACGTTAGTGCCCTGTTCACTTCTAGGGTCCTGTTCTTCACCACTAAGCCCATAGTCACAGGGACCGTGCATTCACTTGCTGTCTCTTATCTAGCTACTGCACTGACATAGAGAGGTCCCCACAGCACACAGGCACTCTGGTTACTGCCGCCTGCCCAGGAACAAGTACATGGGTAGTCCTCAAGGCATGGAAGAGTATTCCAGCCCTGAAGCCAGAGAACCAAGCCACCCACTGGCACATTAGTCATTGTAATCTCATCACTGGATGTTTATAATGTGTTTATACAGGTCCTGTGGCAGTCTACAACCCTGAGCTAGACTTTCCCAGTGGGCCCCTAAATCACTCCCATCCACCTCCATCCCAGACCGGCAGCAAAGCTACTCACATGAACAAATAAAATCAACATCAAAACAGTCTCTTCCCCCTCGGGCTTCTCCACCAGGATATCGTTTTCCTAGCACTGAAGCAGAGCCCAAACACCTCCGTGCCGTTCACACACACAACCTCCTCCTCCCACTAACATCCTCCACTGGGGAGGAATGAGACAGAGTATCTCCAAATTTGACTTTGACAGGATGAGAGACAAGGGAACCATTCTCTCCTCTATGAAAATAGGTTTGTGATTTTCGATAAAACAGACACCATTATCCAGGAGGTTTCCAGACACTACTTGGTATGAGGAGATCAGTTGTGCTTATGGAGGATGGACCTGCCTCCATCCTTCATGGGTCAACAGCAGTGGGGTTGCCTGGTATTATTCACTGCTGTAGTATCAAGAACCCTTAATCATAGATGGGATACAAACACAAAATGTGTGGATCTTGTTGTAATGAACTGAAGGAGAGAGAGAGCCAGGGACCAGCTGGCTGGCTCCAAACCCCTGGAGGGACCAGTAGATT